AACAAATACCTTTTGAAAGTATTTTATATAGTGTAGGAGGGGCCTAAAATGTTAGACATGGCATAAACACTGAAGATCAGTTATGGAACACTTCAAAAAACAGAGATGGAATGACTTGTTCAGGGCATTAAGCTGGTTTAGTTACTGTTAAGAGCCAGGACTTGAGTTCAAATCCCAATTCTATGACTTATACCTTAGAAAAATTACTTAACCTCTCTATGCTTCAGTTTTCTCATGTGTGAAAAATGAAGATTGTTATAGGTAATTATTATGGGCATGAGAATAAAATAAAGATTATATAACACTTGGGACAGTACCTAACCCACAGTGAACACTCAAAACATGAGTTATTGGTATTTTATTTCTTCCTGATTCTCAGTCCAGCATTCTTTTCATCATATGCCAGCTCCTGGTATATAAAAAATACTCTTTATATGCTATTTATAAATGTCTTAGTTTAAAAAAATTAAGCTGCATTATATGTAATTTGATTTATTCATATTTGATATATTTTGAGATAAGAAAGACCAGGAAAAAGGGAAAAATAAAAAATTCTGGACAACTCTTCAAAACCTGTATTTTGAGGGGATTAAAAAAAATTGTCTTTAAGAATTAATTACCTTCTTCTATCCTCCATATTTCCAAGAATGAAAAAGGACAAAAGAAATGAGTGTTTGGTAAATAGGCTTTCAAAATCCAAACTAAAGAACTGGCAGTGTTTAGCAATAAGCAAGAAGAATAAACTTGGAGTTACCAGTCCATAAGTATGAAAAAAGATGCTGTTTGAGTAATAGTGAAGGAAGGTTAGGAGGGGAGCTTTTACACTGGAGTTGCACGGATATAGAAAAAACATCCTCATGCTAATAATTATGAGATAATCACAGATGTTAACAAAATAGACAACAACCTTTCTAGAAATTTAGAAGGTAGTGGAAGGGAGTAGGTAATTTTTTTAAATCCCTTTTAATATCTATAAAATAATTACATAATCAAAAAGCATTAAGTGCTCATCTTTACAAGATAAACAGACATGGTTTCTACCGTTTAGCAGCTTAGACAAAACAAGCTTTAACTAAAAATTACTGAATAGTCATTACATTATGTACCAGACTCTGAAAAGTTAAAATGACCACCACTTGGGTTGCCTTTTTTTTTTTTTTTAACCCTGTTTATGCTAATTTGGGCAAGTCACTTCATCTACAACCTGGTTTCACTGGGGAAATACTACATTCAAATGTTTTTAGGGTTTCTAGTAATGGCAAAACAGCAGTGAATGAAAAAGAGGAAAGAAAAAAGCTAACAAGACTTCAAGAAATAAAGTTTACCTAGGATGAGGAGGCTGTGGAAAAGAGGTGCAAGGTATCAGAATAACCTGGGGAGCTTTTTACACAATACTCATGTCTGTACCATCCTCAATCTGAGTTATCATTTCCCAAGTGAAAATATGTATGTGTGTATATATAAAACTCCCAGGTAGATATGAAATTAAGCTCTCTCTCTTAATTCTCCCCCTTGCCATTTGAGAACAACTAACTAAAGACTTATCGTTGATATTAACGGGAAGATAATTAAAAAACACAAAATAGTTTTGTTCTTGGACAAAGCAGGAATATAATGAATACAACCTGATGACTGGAACCGAGACAAGAACATAATTATCAAAGGAACTACTGTAAAAAAAAAAAAGGAAGGAGGAATCATGAGGGAAAGGTGTTTTTGTTGCTTCCTTGAAAAATGACTCAGAAAGAAGGTAACCATGTATCACACAAGAAAAAAGGCCATTAACAAATACATAATTTCTGTGCATGTAACAACGATATATTCTAAATACAGTTTAAACAAGAAAAGCACAATCCTTGCTCATTTTGAACATATAATCTAAAATATCAGACAACAGATGACGTAGCAGGGCATATGCAAACAACATTTACAAAGAAATCTGCATATAGTTCTCAAACTTTAAAGAGCTTTTTATAGTATTTACATTGGTAGTACAGTATGAATAAGGTTGAGATAATAAAAAAGATTATGGGAAGAGAAGACAAAGGGCATGACATGAAAACAAGAGAGATTTTATTTAGGAAACTTTAGAAAGGGGCGTATGCTCCACAATCTCTTCAGATTGTCAGTCAATGATCTGTTTGATACTTTTATGGGTAATACTGATAGATGTAGGTGAAGGTGACAGGGATGAACCAGGTACGGGATGAGACCAACCTAACTATGTCCTCACTGCTTTGGTGTCCATTTAATACATGTGCGACTGCTGTTCTACTGAATCAAAACAATCTAAAAATCCCACCAGGCATATACCCAAGGGCAGAGTCCCCTCAAGGAAGAGTATAGCACAAAGCCAAAGAAAGATGTCACCAGTATACAATACATCCAGAAAATTATCAAAATCTATGATTAAAGATTTTGGTACAGCAATTCATTAGTATCAGAGTTCAAGAAATACAATCATCAGCACTACTATTTATTAAGTGCTTTTTAGATGCCAGAAACGATGGTAGGCAATTTACACGTACTGCTATCAGGTTTACTCAACACGACCACTCTATGACGTAGTTACTACCCATATTTTTAGATGAGAGAACCAAAGCTTACAGAGAAGTGATCTGCCCAAAGTCACATAGCTGGTGAGTATAATGGTAGAGGCAGGAAGCGAGGCCAGGTCTGATACCAAAGCCTGTGCTTTGGGAGCTAAGCAATAGCTAAAGCTTATGCAAGAATTTAAGTTCAAAATGGAAAGTACTCTGGGATGTTTAGGGTGTAGCACAACAAAGTGTACCCAAAGTAAAATTTCAAATATGTAAGAACACCAAAAAGATGCAAAAAATTTTAGCAATACCACTGAGCAGATATAGGTAAAAGCATATAATTAATAGCTTAGTTACAAACTGGTGGTAAGTTGGAGAGTATAGGACAGAATATAATTCAAAAGTCTACCCAAGAACTATTATTGGTAAGTTTCAGATACGAACAAAGGAATTTGATCAAGGGTACCAATGACAATAATAATAATAGGAAGTTATAAACAGAGATTTGAAGGAGGAAGGTGCAGACATCTGCTTGATTTCTTTCATGCTAAAGTAGAAAATATTGCTTAAACATAAAGGGGAAGTAGAGGCTCATATAATATTACCAAATATCCAAGAATAATTCTCCCTAATCTGTTGGTTGCTAGGGCTGACAGCAGCATTACTTTCCTTGGCAATTCATAGATAAACAGAAATGAGGGACTTGAGTCTTTAGAGACTTGAGCCCATATCCAATGGTGTACGCATGGGCCCCTGCGTTAGATGAAGCAGAACTACTTTGCCTCCACGATTTTTATTTATATATTTATTGCCTCCATGATTTTTAAATTTACAGAACACAATTTACGGAACACAATCAGATATTCCTGTAGTTAACTATGATTAAGTACAAAGTAAAGAATTAAAAGTTCCAAGGTTCTGGATCTCAGACTTCTAAATTAAGACAATCACACATACATGACCTTATCCCAACCTGCAAGCCTATACAAACTAGATATTCTGCTTGAAAAATGTATGATATAAACATTAAAAAGAGAAGGACGATAAAACTATTTGTAAAGGTAGGCCCTTCCCCTTATACTGTATAAAGGTAGTATTTGAAGACAATAATTATAGAACTGAAAAAGGTAATGGAGCAAGACAATAACCTCCTCTACTCTCCAATCACATAAGAGGAAAAGAAATAATTTAGTGACTACTGAGCAAAATAACGATTTTCCATGGAAAGTCATCCATGAAATGGCATTTTGAGTTTTTCAAATGTAGGAAGGGATCATTTTTGCACCTATGCAGACAAAAGTGATTTATATACAGTGGGTGTTCAATAAATGTTATTAATAACACAAGGCCATACTAATGAGCTTTCACAATAAAGAGCAGGACAGCTATGTATTATAAAATAAGAAATGTTTCTTGAAAGCACACTTAGAAAATAGAGATTTGGAAAGCTGACAGGGATACTAAGTTAAATATCTTTTATTTGAAGTAGAGTCGAAGGACATAAAGCAGATGGCTGAACAGTGAAAAGAGCACTGTTCTTCTAAGAATGCAGACAGAGAGACAGAGACTGAAAATAAACAACGAAAGTTAATAATAAGTAGAAAACAATGCAAAGGAATTTAGGTGATTATCTGTAATGGGTCTGAAGAGGTTAAGTATAGAAAAATATTAACTTGGAAAACTGAAGAGAAAAAAATAAATGTACAAATAGAGCAATCAAAAGAAAAAATAGAAATACAAAATTAACACCTCAATCTCAATATAGCATGAAAATTTTCAGTATGTGGTTTTAATCCAGGAGACCAACAAGAGTACATGCACGGTCCAGCACATAAGCATCCCTGGAAACATCCAAGCTTTTGGTGGTCAGAAGAATCATATTTCTAGGAAAGGAGAGAGGTTTCTCACAATGGTCAGGGCTACAATCATAGAAAGCTATTCTTAAGAACATGTGGGACTCACTTCTAAGTTTAGGTTTGCTCATTATACTAAAAATAGCACTGATGAGAAAGTGTAATGACCAAAGGAGCATCTACTGAGTCTCTATGCTTCTGAGATCTAAATTGAGACTATCCTCTAATGGGGGTAGGAAATCAGTGAAGCAGAAGCTCCAATAGATAGGCTGGGGGGATAAAAGAGGCCTTACTGGAGAACTAGGTTACATGGAAATGAGAAACTACAGGCTACCAGGGTTGTTCTCTTTCCTGAGATTAATAAATATTAAAACAACCTAAGAAAATGTAAACACACAAAGTAAAAGCTGTCTCAAGCTGAAAGATATACAAAGCAGCAAAGAGGAATGCTATTGCTTGCTACGTTAAAAAAAAAAAGAAAAGAAAAGAAAGAAAGGTACTAGGATAATGCACAGAGAGAAAACCAAACATTTTCCATTTGGCTTCTAATTGCTATTACAAATGATCTGATTGTGTTCCCTTTGACCTTGAGGAACATCAAACCTACCATGTGGTAATGTTATGTTTGCACCATCAATGATTGCTTGTGCCAGTTCATGATCGTTGCTTTCAAAAGCATGTGCTGCAGCCTTCAAGGCATCCCAAATCTCTTTGCGGCCTTCAAAAGCTGGTGCAGTATCCCAAAATTCATCCCTCTTGCTGCGTAGCTGTCCATCTGTCATAGGATAATCGCTTTTCCATTTTGGTTTCTCCTTTTTCAAAGGCTGGTTACGACCTAAAGCAACTGAAAAGAAAAATAAAAGACTGACATCAAAACTAAAATTTACAAAAGCTCCATCCAAAGTTATCTGGTCATCCCTCTTTTTGATTCTTTCATCAAAATTATAGCTAGAAGTTTGCCTATTAGCTAATTCCTGGGTCCTGAAATTCCCCTAACCTATTTTAGAACTACAAAAGCAAATGGAGACATTAGGTGACTATCCAAAACTTCCAAAGACAAGTTAGTAGCTCTTTTCAACTTTTATACTTCCTCCAAAGGATGATTTTAAAAATTACCTAGAAGAAAGAGTAAAAAGTGTTTCAACAGACTATACTGACGGGATATAAAAATAGTCAAACCAAAAACCAAATCCATTGCCACTGAATCAATTCTGACTCACAGCAACCATACAGGAGAGAGTAGAACTGTCCCATAGGGTTTCTAAGGCTGTGATCTTTACAGAAGCAGACTGCCACATCTTTCTCCCATAGAGTGGCTGGGGGTTCAAACCGCCGACCTTTTGGTTAGCAGCTGTGCGCTTAACCACTGTGCCACCAGGGTTCCTTAAAAATAGTCAAAGGATATCATAAAAGAGAGGCAAGATACATGGGAAAATCCAAATGGCAATGGTAGTTTGACTCTCACAATCTTTGGGCATATGAAGTCAGGAAGCAGGAACTGAGAAACCCCAAAGAAGCAAGAGACTGCTCTGCAGCGTGAGGAGGATTAACAGCCAAATCACCAGATTCATGAAGAAACCTGATCATAGGAATGTTTCCTCTAGCATTCCCTTCTCTGAGCTTTAGTCAAAGGACTGTGAATGCCATTCTCCGAAACTCAAACAGGAGTTAATCTAGAAACGGGTGGAGGTGAAGGGTAGAACCAGTGCCTCGTTCTTTGCAGGAACTAGGACAGGATCAGATGATCCTTGATCCTTGGCCAGGGATAAACTCCCAACCACAAGCAGCAGAAGAACTACAATACTCTACTCTAGTTTCAATCCAAGAGAAGAAAAAAGAGGACAAGAGTCCACTCCTTTTTGTCTAAGTAGCAGTATCACTCTTTAGAGAATGTTACAAGTAGCAGTACTAGAACAATCCTAATGCAGCTTCTTTGCACCCAGATACTTAACTGGCATATGCTCATCTATCTATTTCTATGAGTCATACTGACATACAGTCATTCTTATCTAAGGCTCTGTAGAACTCTAGATACACAGCCATAATAGTTTGATAGATGGGAGAATAGGTAAAAAGAAAATTGAGGCTTGATGAAACGGTTAAGAGTGTTGGGTAAGAGTGGGTGGGAAATAAATGACACAGTAGGTGGGAAGTAGAGAAAGTGTGTGTCAAAATTCAACGTTCTATATTTAATAGCAGGAAAAATGCCAATTTAAGAGACATTACTCTCAAAATGGTTCTAAAGTACCAATGAAATTAACCACTCCCCCACTGGCCTAGAGCCAAATGAAATCTGGGCTATGCACAACAGAAAATAAAACAAAATGACTCTAGCCTGTAGGCAATCTCTATATCCTATACCAGGCTGACAGGACCAACTAATGCTGCAATTGTCTGGCTGGACCCCTGGATTTAACCATGCTCTCTTCACCCAATCTGGCCACTTGATCTCAAGGCGGCAGGTGACTTCCACCCTCTCACTTTCAGGGTGGCACACCATGCTACCACCAGCAGATTTCCTCTTAAAACACTTAGCATTTTGACTCACTGCTTCGTTTTGACCCTCTAACTTGTCCTAGTGAAATCCAAATCGTGTTCTAAAAAGGCATGGACAGGAGAGTAGGAAAACAAGTCTATTCAGCAACAGAGTGGGAAACGAAAGCCAAGTCTCCTTATTTAATCAACAAGTATTTCCTGAGAGTCTACTAAGCTAAGAGTCTACACTATAGATATGCATATCAGGTTTAATTCATATGTGAGAGACACAATTGATACTAATGACTTTCCCTGCATCTTCCAATATAGATGTTATGGAGATAATGCATTATTGTCCAAGAAGTGTTCTGATTATGTCAGATAATCACAATCCACTCATGATTCCACCAACAAGGTGAAATGAGAGGTAAACTTTATTTTCTGTCAGAGTAACCTTCAGATGAGTTACATAAACAGCTCAGTTTACCAAGCAGGGTGTGGAAGACAGGACAAAATAGTTAGGTAGACTCAGTAAGATCTATTTGAATAAAGTTTCAGGTCGACCTGAGTACTTTCAGAGAACTTTCTATCCTCAAGTCCTAGAAGGTGAAAAAGATATGCAATACAGGTACCACAGAGATAATCTGGTATAATTTTTCCTGTCATTGTGAGAGGATCAGAAAGCAAAGGCAAAAACAATAACAACAAAAATTTCCACAGTCTCCGTACCTAAAACTGAAGTAACTGAAAGAGGCCCTCAAGCAGAGGAACTCAACAGAAAAAAACAATCTCATAATAAAGGTAGAAAAACTTTGGAAAAAGTAAAGGCACTTTTCTTACAAATGTGGATTGTTTTACTTCACCTCCCCCCCAATCTGCACGAAGCATAAGAATAAAATCTCATAAAAAGGATATATGATACATTATGCTGCTTAATGCTAATCATCATTCCAAATGCATTTTCAAATCTATATGCTGTCAAAAGTTCCAAAGTAATTATTTTATGCAAAAGTAAATAAGACTATAATAAATGCTTGTAATATGAACGAAGCTTACTTTTATTTCTAAGTGTCTATTCTGTTCCCTACATTACAAATATATGTAATACACAGTATCTGCCTATAAAATGTCCTTAAATTACTTAAATATTTTACAACACAAAATATTATTTTAGTGATACCACTGAGCAGTGCAAAATTTTCTCTACAAAACCTGAAGTTAGAAGCTTCATGCCAAACAAAGTAAATGCAGTTAACTGCCTCACTCATCTTTGTTACGTAAACAATTAACTGGGAAAAACTGCGCATTTGGCAAAAGCATTTGAACTATCCTCTTAAGAAAACATTTAGGGTTGTTAGGAGGATTTAATACCTTAGTATTTGTAAAGCACTTACAGTAGCAACTAGTATAAAATAAAACTACAAATAAGTACTTGTTAAATAAGTAAAAATAAATTTAGAAGCGCTATATGAACTTTAAACATTTTTTGTAAAAATATTTAGACTGTCTTTTTTTTCCCCATCATTTCTGAACAGAACTTGACATTCCAAGAATTTAGCACAGAGTCCCTTCCTTACATTTTAAAAAGAACTGTTCTGTGATTGCCCTGTACTTCCTGTGCTTTTATCAGAGTGTATTTTCTAGGAATTTGCTCACCAAAACTTGTGCTTGTATTTTAGGTGGTACCACAAACCTACATTTCTGAAAATACTTGGACACAGAAATCAGCCTAGTAGCTAAATGGTTACGTCTGCACTGAGTCAACCATTTTCAATTGTGAAGATATAAGATGTGAAATATTAACTGAACTTTATTTCATGCTCCTAAACGTTCAGATCTGTCTGTCTCATACATTTTCTGCCTCCTGATACCAACAGATAGACATTCAGTACCATTCATAGTATCTGGGAATAAGTATTACACTCTAGCAATGAAAGAATTTAAAGATAGGAAATACCCCTTAATCCTCAAATTTGTCTAAATCTTTAAATTGCAGACAACCAACCATTCTTAGTTTTCTTTCATGATTTAACATATTAGAAACAGAAGGCTAATAAAGCAATCTAAGTAATTTCATAAAGATTACTGAACAGTCTACAGTTTCTTCAGAAGTCTATACTCTTCTTTTCTTTCTATCAATCCATGTTTACTACTTTCAAAACCTTACCTGAAACTTATCTTCTTCTCAGAAGTCTCTTAATCACATTCATCTATTCCTTATCTTTCTTTATAACCTTTCAATAATTCTTCCCACTCTGTGACAATATACAGATCTAATACACAGTAAATCCAAGTAAGGCTTGCTTCTCTGAGCTAAATAGCATAATCTTAACTATTTTTACTCTGCAGTTGAATGCATTTTACCAACAACTCATTTTGACATTTTCCTAATAGGAAACAATGATTTCCACAATGAAAAATGATTGTAGTTGTCTTCCCGCTTTTGGTTCTTCTTTGAAAACCCTGATTTAATACAGGGACTCTTCAAATGAAGAAAGGAGAGGCCAAAATTCGTATAACAGATAAATACCTCAATTTGACTCCAGCAGTAATAGCTTTTTTAATAGATTGAAAACTGGAAGCATTAGCTTCCCTAATACAATAGCCTAGGGGAAAAAAAAAGAATATTTAAAGAGATCATGATCAAAGGACAAAATGCTGTTTCAAAGAACTCTGAAGACTTTAAAGCAGGGAGGAATCGGATTGGGATAATGCTCCTACATTAGATGAATTACATAAGAGTCTTAAGATCATGAAATCATAGGAAAAATTTTTCTGTCACTCCCAAGTTAAAGGAGATCATAAAGAAGCCTTCCATAACAGATTGTGCTAACCTAAAAGAATACTCACAAAATATTTTATTCTCAAATAAATTTAGAATGCACTATATACACACCTGGGCTAAGAAATGTGTCTTTTACATACCAAATCAATAACAAAGATTCACTCTGAATAAAGAAAGTGTTGTTTTCCTAGCGGTACGGGTTTCATTATGGCCAATGGATATCTAGTCCAGGCTTGGACAAAGGAAAACTAACAGCAGCACCAGCTCCCCAGCCCCATCCAATCTACCATCTCATCCATTTCTTGGGAAGCACAATGCTCACCAAAGAGGAACCCTATAAGGGAAGGGAGACGCAGTTTTCTGGTCTGTCAGCTTCAACTTGTAAGTATTTAGCATTTATCACAGATAAGGCACTAAAAATTGCACGTATACATACTCATCTAGGTAAGTTAAATACACTATTTTTGATGCAATTATTTTATAATAAATTAAAATATAAATGAGAACTTTTAGCATGCTCATATCCTAAAACTCATAAAAATTAAGCAATGAAAGCATGATGATTTTATAGGCATATATAAGAT